ACTGTATTCGCACTTTCCATCAGGCGCGGTGCAGTCATTTTGCCGAGTCACAATAAAAAAAAAAGCACCTCCAAATACCTCGAAAAGGATACCCATATTGTATTTTTTTTTAAATCGTGTCCGCCATCTTGGATTTACAAATAAGTGCCATATTCGTATTAAGCATCCCCAAATACCTTGAAAATTGCCATTATTCGGAAAATCGTGCCCGCCATCTTGGATTTACAAATGAAAGCTATATTCGTAATGAGCATCCCTAAGTACCTCGAAAACGACATCCAACTTGCCATTATTCGAAAAATCGTGTCCGCTATCTTGAATCTAGAAATGAGTGCTATATTCGTATTGAGCATCCCCAAATACCTCAAAAAGGATAACCGTGTAACAAAATATCGTGTCCGCCATCTTGAATTTACAAACAAGTGCTATATTCGTAATGGGCACCCCCAAACTCCTCGAAAACGATACCCAATTTGCCATTATTCGAAAAATCGTGCCCGCCATCTTGGATTTAGAAATGAGTGCCATATTCGTAATGAGCATCCCCAAATACCTCGAAAAAGATACCTGTATTCCATTTTTTTGATAAATCGTGTCCGCCATCTTGGATTTACAAATAAGTGCTATATTCGTAATGAGTACCCCCAAATATCTCGAAAACGATACCCAACTTGCCATTATTTGGGAAATCGTGCCCGCCATTTTGCATTTAGAAATGCGTAAAGTCGTGTCAGCCATCATGTATTCAGATATAAATGCCACTTCCAGAACCATCTTGGATTTAGAAATTACTGCCACATTCTCAATAAGCATTCCCAAACAACTCGAAAACGTCTATAATTCTCGTAGGCTCCTAATCGAGATTGTCGACCGACAATGACGATCGATAGTGACGAACGACAATGTCGATCGTATCTGTAGGCACCTTAAGATCTGCTGGCTGGATCTGTAGTTTATTTGCTAAGAGCGGTAGACACTGTGAGGCAACAGGCACTGGTTCGAGTTCTGTCAGATCGAATGAATTTTTATTTTCTCATAGATGACGCTATGGCAAAAAAACGTTAAAAACCAATACATAGATCTGGAACAAACACATGGAAAAATTCGTGAGGTCCGTTGATTCGTTCCGTGGGTTAGTTGGTATCGCATCTGGCACGGTTTGCTAGGAGACGTTGGTACGAATCCAGCCGGATCGAAGTGAATTTTTTTCTTCGATCTTTGTTTAATAATTAAAACTAGTAGAGTATTTTTGCAAAATATAATTAAAAACAACATGATACTCGAAAAAATATATATTCTAATAGCATATCATAACGTGTATAACTAACTTGCTAATGACGGCAATTTTAAAATAAAGCAAACAACATATGTAACAGAATAATTTATTTCTTTATTATATTTGTAGTATGTTTAACTTAGCACAGTGCAACGATAAGTGGCGTAAGGATAAGTCGCATAAATTTAATGTCACTAATAGCAATAATGCTCAATCGCATACGGCCTTCGATCCGTCAGTATTTGATCGTATTAACAGGTAAGAAGGTAGCTGTAATACATGGCGTCTGTATTTTGAGTTGTAATACATGAGAACATAGAGTTCCAATACGCGTAGATAGAGAAATTCCAATACGCGTTATTGCAAACTAAAATTTTCCCGTGACTGCCGTATTAATTAAAGAATTATGTTGAATCCGTAGAGGGAGAATAAAAAAAAGAATAGAGAAGCTTCTCGCGTATACTGAAAAGGGATACCAACAGAGTACCTATAAATTCTGGGTTGTCTACTTTTAAAATTTTACTCAGTTGAAGAAATTGATATGAAAATGAAGCCGTGGTAGCCTAATGGTTTGACCTACTGCCTCTCAAGCAGAGGGTCGTGAGTTCGAATCTAGACTCGCACCTCCGACTTTCTCGGAATATGAGCGAAATTTAATTTGAAAAAATAACAAGCGTTGAAAAAAGAATACTGGAAAAGTATTGAAAAATAAAAAAAATAAAAATTTCAAATGACCCATAAATTTGGGAAAAGATAGTGGCAAAAGCAAGGTATCCCTAAAGTCAGCTTAAGCCGGTCTAGTTTAATTTATACGTTATTTATTTGATCTCTCATTCTCGCGTATCATAATCACTGCTGGTAGAAGCGAGATGGACATATTTGACAAAAGTAAGATATTCTCCTTATTTTAGGAGGTTTCTACGATGCAAACAAAAATCTTTCAATCAAGAAAAACACTTCAAATATCATTTAAAATACATGAAATCGTAATATTCCAGGCTTGTAAGAATATTTCCCTAGTAATTCATACAAGAAAACTCATTGATTTTAATGAAAAATTAAAATTTACGTGTGAAAGGTTATGTTGGGAATTTTTCGTTCCGTACGGCTTTTACAGCCTAAAATATAACAATGCACCATTATTGTGAGCTATAATAATTCTTAATTACTACAAAGGAACGGTTAGTAACTTTGTAAAACACTTCTTCAAAGCACAAACACATAAAATCGATGCACATCAACCACACTCGGAAGAATTTGCTGGACTCAACGACCGTTGAGTCATACAACCAAAACCGCATACGTAGAAAGGGACAAAAAAGAATATTGTTTTCTCGTTTACTCTGATATGTCTATGCATAAATCTATCTCGCTTATACGGTTTTTATTATTTATAAAGTTGAATCCATAGATTTAGTATATATACTAAATCTATGATAGGTACCCAAATCTATGGTTGAATCTATAAGACTAAGGTTGAATCTTAAAAGATTTTTTCGCTCTTTTCATTGACACTGGCGATGATCGACATAATTTTTAGAATATTTTACTAAATAGTTTTACTGGACACTGGCAGAATTGTCCTCAGTGGGACAGACGCCAAAACCTATAAAAATAAGAATAAAAAAATCCGTTTTGTGTAATTACATTCAAAATCCGTTGTTCTTCTTTACATAACCGCAAAACAAGACACAACATACATAAGAAGACGTGCTTACTCTCGTAGTAAGTAAGTAAGAAATATTCAAATGAAAATTCTTTGCGTCTGGGGATTTAATTCTTTAGCGGTATAAAGGGGATGGGCCAGGACTATTGCCGGTAGCATCTTGCGAGGAGATTCGGATAGTCTAAAACTGGTGGCGCAGCTGGTACGCCCCACAGTGGGCCCAAATTGATAATTCTTGGACATAGGAATAACTTGTGGAGTATTGAGCTAATTTTTTTATGTGATAGATAATAACATTCCTAACAACTTTTATTCTTGTATAATTTCATGAAAAGTTGATAGTTCCGGAGAAAAAAATATAATATTAATTTTTTTGTATGGAGAAATATACATTTTATTTTTTATCTCAAAATATACGAAAATGTAATGTGCATGCACGGGTTACTGACCAGTTTAGTTCCAATCATTTTCTATGTAGAAAAAAATTATCTGTCTGCATGTGCTTTGTATGTGTACCTACACTATACTTAACATTTACCTAATAAAGATAAAGATTCTACACACTTATTGCATTTATAACTAATTTAACTCGGAATTTTATTGTAGACCTTAGAAGCCATTCTGAAGTAGAGCAGTTACGAATGTTCAAATTTGAAATAATTTAGGTTGACGAAAACTGTAATTTTAAATTGTAAAGAAACTTTCTGCAATTTTACAAATACATATTGGTGTTTCCGTTAATTACCTACAAATATAGTCGTAGATATTACTTTGGAAAATTTCTTGTTATTGCAATAGTATTTTCCTCTGTCAGTGAATCTGCCCACAATATGTTTCGGTATGGCAGTGGCATGGATTTCTCCGGTGATGGTAAAACTGTCCAATTCTGCTGATACTGTGCTGTCACGACCCATCACCCCCGAAGAGGGGTCTTGGTTGGCTTCTGCTACAATTATATGCGCTTTTTTTGGTGAGTAAGCTTAAAGTTTTTATAGAAGGGAGTTGAAAGAAGATTTCTTGTAATATTAAGTTTATTGGATATCACGATGTTTTAATACACGATATTAAATTTTTTTGTGAAATTAATTCACCAGTTTGTTATAATTATTAATATATAAAGATCGAGCACAGAGAAAAATTAGAGAAACAAACCAATGAAAGATAATGTAAAGAATTTCCTGTACTATGAGTACCAGAGCAAACGGAATGCACACTGGGGCACTACCTAGAACACCCAGACGTGAATCAATTTAGGAAAATTAATTTCCCAAATCCGCGGCAATGTGAATTGAGCCTAATTAATTTATTCATACGCTGTGCTAATTTACACCTTATGTCATGTTCCTTTAGTAAACGCTTTAGCAGCATATTTAGCCGAACACTGGGGTAGAAAAAAAAGCATTGTTATCTCATTCCTGCCCAAGATTACGGCTTGTATCCTCTACATAGTTGCGACAGAGTTCTGGATGTTGCTGTTAAGCAGAGTTTTTGACGGCATAGCGGAATCTATGGTATGTGTCACAGTGCCAATGTACGCAGCTGAAGTAGCCAATGTGAGTAACAAAACACGGTTTAAGTATCGTTACATATTTGCTGAGATAGAGCAATAAAAACACGACTGAGAATACAATATTTCTTTTCAGAGAGAAAACAGGGGTGCTCTGGGAGCAATACTTCAAATTTATGCATCATTTGGTGTGGTCTTGATGCTGTGCATAGGTCCATACGTATCATACGCGAACCTAAATATTGCGTATTTGTGCATATCAGTGTTAGCTTTTGTGCCAACCATCTTCTTACCTGATAGTCCTTACTTTCTGTTTTCTAAAGGTAAAAATCGTAATTGCAGATAATAGGTATAAGTTATTCTACGCAGCCACTACCGTACTATCTATCTTTATATGTTTTAGGACGCATAGATGAGTGTCAAAGAACGTTGACATTTTTAAGAGGGTCCGAATCATTAGCTAAAGAAGAGATTAAGGAATATTCAACAAACAACAATAGAAAAATTGACATGAAACTGCTTCTGAGAAACAAAATATTTCTGAAAACTATTCTGATAATAACTGTTCTAGGAATTGGTCTGCAAAGTATAGGATACAATGCAGTCACATTTTATCTGCAAACTATTTTGGAAACTTCTAATACGAGTATTAAGTCTGAGATAGCTTCAGTTATAATGGGATTTGTACAGTTGTCAGCAGCTTTCTGCGCTCAAATGATTACAGACAGATTTGGCAGAAAGATAATTTTGATCACAACACTCTTTGGCATGTGTTTAGGATTGGTAAGTAATACGTATACGCACTTTAATAAATCTTCACATCGCTGCCACAGTACAAAGTAGTCATGATTAGGTGAATTCGAACAAGACGATCCAACTGAAAGACGTAACATGTAGGTATAAATTCTAAGCATCTCCAACTCTTTTGTTCACATACCTATGTATTCATCAACTTGAATTTTTATAACATGTTAGGAGTTATAGTATAGAATTGCCATTAGCCCCTTTGACATATAATAAGCCTTTTTTCAGATTAAAAACTTTTTCAAGTAAAATGTCAAGGCTTCTAAAATAAAAAAATTTGCGTTTTTAAATAGTTTTAATGGACCAAATAAAAAAACAATTGATGTTTTTATTCGGTTAATTTTGCGTTCTCTTTGAAATTATAAAAGGGTGACAACTACTAAAATTCCTGCAACTTTTAATCATCGAGTATATAACCAGAAATAGAGACGAAACGAAATGTCATTTAATTTGTTTGAAAACTATTCTGCCGAAAAGCGCGGGAAGCCCTTGGGAAACCTTTGATTTGGCGGACGTGTTTTTTACTTTCTTATTTTCAAATTAATTTAATTTGGGATCATTAGAGGTATTTGTGTAAATTTTTGTATTTACTCTTTCTTTTAGTTATAGTTTATGTAATATTTTTTGTAATTAATGTATAGTGTTCGTATATAGGTAAGTGAGTCTTTCTTTATTATGGGGGTCGATCCCCCTGACGACTCAGGAGGAGGCTCTGGGCCTCCAGTAGCCTATAATGTTGTTATTGACGCCTCATCAATGGACGCTGAAGGCAGCATTCCTATGCCTGACCGTAAAAGAGTTAAACCCCGAAAAATCTGCCGTCATTGTAATAAAAAACGTAGGAAAAGAGATGGCAAACCAGTCTCTTTACACAATTGTCAATGTTCTGAATCTGAGGAAGAATGTTCCAAGAAATTAAAATTACCCGTTGTTGCTGATGCCAATGCTAGCAATGTTGGTGCTAATAATAGTACTAACAATGTTGTAACAAATGTTGGTGATTCTGTTTCAAATTCAAGGCCGCAGGGTGGTAGGAAGTATGAAGTGACTGATTTAGCCTCATACGTAGTACATGTCCAGAAAGAACAAAGTACAGCTGATGATCGTGTTACGCTCCATCCTGTGCAGTTTGGAAACTTTTTAAAAAAGAACTCTTTTAAAAACATTGTAAACGGAAGCTTGAAAAGAATAGGTCACAACAGGCTTAGTTTGGCTTTCTCTAATGTTGCTGATGGGAATAACTTTGTTGATGACCCCAGTCTTGCCAGTCACAAATTTAAAGCTTTTATTCCTACTTTCAATGTTACTCGTATGGGAGTAATGCGTGGTGACCCTGCCGATTGGAGAGATGATGAAGTTCTTGAAAATGTTTCAGTGCCTATTGGGTGCGGTAAAATTATTAAAGTTAGACGTATCAAGGGGAAAACTATTGTAAGTGGGACTGCGATATTTAATAACCCGGAAACTGTAATTTTCACCTTTCATGGACAAGTTTTACCAAAACGCATTTATATGTACTATACTGCTTTATCTGTTGAACTGTATATATATCCTACAATACAATGTTACCGTTGTTGCCGTTATGGACACACCAAAATGCAGTGTAGATCCAAACCGCGTTGCCTAAAATGTGGTGAAGACCATACTGCTGAAACCTGCTCAGTACATGTAGATTATGCTTCTTGTTGCCTATGCTCTGGATTCCATTTTGCAAATAGCAAATCCTGTCCTGAATTTGCCCGTCAAAAAGAAATTAAGGTGTCCATGGCCCAAAAGTAGTATATCATATTCCGAAGCATCAAAATATCACCCTCCAATTTCAAAATCTTTTGCTGATGCAGTTCGCTCCTCTCAACAAAAATCTAATGATAGTAGGCTGAACAATAACTACACAGTTTCAGCAGAGGCTCATTCAATTAATAAATCTTATAAAAAAACAGTGTTTGTTCAACCACGGTCCCCTCCTAAAGTAGCGGGTGGGTATGATCGTGCTGCACATGATTCATTTTTATTTATTTATGTATTTTTTAGGGATAACAAACATGTACATGAAATGTTTACAATCAGAGTTAAATATTTCTAACATAGGTACACGTACAATCAACAGCATTATCCACAAGTTACTATTAGAATTAAAATTAAAATTGTCGTGTGTGATGGGTAGGGCTAAATAAACTAAAACAAATAAAAGGTAAATAAGAAATTAGCTCAGGGCATCAATAATAGCTTTTTTAAATTTAGAAGCAGGCAAATGGAATCAATATTAAAGTCAATATTGCTAAACCAATCATTGTAATGAGAAAGAATACGACGTAGAGGAATTCGCTTGCCAGCATTTGTTCTGCAGGTCACCGTTTTAAACAACGAGTAGGAGCGCACTCGCCGTCGATAAACTCTCATTGGTGCATTATATCTAATATGTTGCACAAGATCCGGGCAATCAATTAAATTGTGACAAAGTCCATGGAGTGTTACAGATTGAAGAAGCATTTGTCTATTGTGAAGTGTTAGCATTCCAAACTTAGATATGACGTAATTTTTCTAAATATTGTATAATTTATCGACTTAAGGAATTTAGCTTGAATTTTTTCAATTTGTTCTGAGTATTTTTTATAGTAAGGGTTCCAAATTGAGCACACATATTCCACTTGAGGTCGAATCAGACTAATGTATAAGTAAAGATAAGTTGATAGACGAGAGAAGTTGGTAGCAGTTCTCATGACGAATTTATACATTCGAAACCCTTTGGCAACGATGGAGTCAATGTGTAGATCGAGATGTAATTTATTATCTAATATTACTCCCAGGTCTCGCAGGGAATCCACTACTGTTAATGAGTTATTGCAAAGTTTGTAAGTATATTTAATTTTTTTTTTCCTTTTCGTAAAACTAATACTAACAGTATTAGTTATTTAGGGATACTTAGCTTGAGTTTATTGATACTACAATAATGAGTTAAATGATCTAAATCATTCTGAAGTAAAGTACAATCAATATCACTAGAAATGCTTCTATAAATTTTTAGATCATCAGCATATAAAAGAAAATTTGTGTTCTTTAAACAGATTTTAATATCATTTATAAATATAATAAACAGCAGCGGGCCTAAAATGGATCCCTGAGGTACACCTGATGACACATCGATTAGGTCTGAATGATATCCATTAACAATGACTCTTTGCGACCTGTTACAAACGTAAGATGAGAACTAACAGAGGAGATTCCCTCGAATACCATTGAAGGCAATCTTATCAAGTAATAGTTTGTGATCAACTTTGTCAAATGCCTTTTGGAAATCTGTATATACGGCGTCTATTTGGATGCCGTTATCCATATTTTCAAAAACGAAACCAGTGAATAATAATAAATTAGATACCGTCGATCTACGCTTAACGAAACCGTGCTGTTCGGGTATTATAAGGGAACTCAAGACCGGATACAGCTCGTCATGCACTAGTTTTTCAAATAATTTGGCCAAAATACAAGAATTGATATTGGTCTATAGTTCTCAATGTTTTGTTTAGGGCCTTTCTTATAGACAGGAACTATGTTAGCAGTCTGCCATCTAATTGGAAAAGTACCTTCAGACAGGCATTTATTAAAGATTATATTTAGTGGTGTTGCAATAAATTTGGCTGTAGTTTTTATAAAAATTGGTGGGAGTCCGTCGGGGCCTGGTCCTTTTGTAACATCCAGAGAATTTAACTGTTGATAAACTTTATCAATACCGAGGTAAACATTGGATAATATATTGCTAGTATCGGCAGATTCATTACCAGGCGTCCACGAGTCAGGGTTCAAAGTTGATCCACCCCGTCAAAAAAAAAAAAAAAAAAAAAAAAAAGGGTTCAAAGTTGATGGTTCATAAACAGATTTAAAAAATACTGAGAACAGATTACAAATTTCATTCGGATCATTTGTGCTCCGTTCCTTGTAATACATTTCTGCTGGTAGACTAGGGTTTTTTTTTCGATTATTAACGTAAGTCCAGAAGAATTTTATGTTTTTCTTTACTATCTTCAACAGAATTTTTGTATTTTTTATAGCATTTGTTGCATTCATTCTCTCTCTCTGTTTCTGTATATTGAGTATATGTAATAATCATAGTTATTATTGTACACCTTCCATTTCATCCAGTATCTATTTTTATTTTTAAATATATGTATTAATGATTTTGAGAACCAAATTGGAAAATGATGATTTTTTCAGATGAGATTGAGGAACATGTTTTCTAATAATACTATATATTAATTCATAAAAGTTTTCTAGAGTTTCCTCGGCCGGTAAATTAGCTAATAGAGATTCCCAATTAATGTCTGTCAACTCTTTGCATATTTGTTCGTAATTGGCTTTGTAATAGTTATATTTTGTTGAATGTGTTCTTTTCATTTTTGGTAAAATTGTGATATCGACCGTAAGTATTGCGTTGAATGCGGGATGGTAATCATCTAGTTTGAGCAAAGGTACCGTAATCGGAAGAACAGAGCAGTCTGTGTTAAATAGTAAAAGATCCAGGGTTCTTTGATCAGAGTTTTTTAAACAATTATACTGGGAAGCTGCAGAAAGTGTCATGAAATTATGTAGGCTTAAACAAGTTGGAGAAGATCCTGTACAAATAAGGGACTTGTTTTATGCGCTGTGAATCCAGTTCGCTAACGGTATATTATAGTCTCCAAACAAAAAAAACGTATCTGTGTCGGAATCGTTAATTGTCACCAATAATTCCTTAAATATACATTAGAAAGTGCGTACTCCTCCACGTGCGTAATTCTCTGCCCAATACAAACTAATATAACGATGTTTTTCATAATATTATAATAACAAATTGAATCATCAGTATGAACGCATTCCAGTCCTTGTTTAATTATTGGTATTATTATTAATCTTCTTAATATCTTGTTCTGTGCGTATAGGAATGACAGGCGATTTGTCAGATGCGCGCACCAGGATTGTAGAGTGTTTAACCCAAACATATCTGA